CCTGGTGATGGGATTCTACTTATTGTGATGAATGGTGTGAGTCGTGACGGTCTGTTTAATGCTTCGCGATCACCTACGGGGACACGGAGCCGAGGGAGCGATCACCCTGACTGCTCAACTGTTTTCATACCATCACGAAAACAGAGGGAAAACAACTGGGCCTCACAGCCTGAGCCTTCCTGAGAGGGGTAAGAGCCCGAGGGGCCACAAAGGAGAAGAAGCCACAGAAATGCTTTACATTCAGCCTTGAGGAGCAGTAGGACTCCAAGTATAACTGGTAACTTTGTAATGGAAAGAAATAGTGTGTTTTTCCTGCTACATTCCACCGTATCTCTCTGACTGACCTTTGAATGAAGCAGGAATGTGCTGCGGCCAGAATGTGATGTTATACAAATATTCTGACAAGAACTTTACTTTAATACTATTAAAGCACTGTTTTTATGAGGTAATTAAATTATGAAATCAGAAAAAGACACCAATGGGACCAAAACTAAATTTCCATTTAGATTACCTTCAGCAGCAGAATTCTGGATTATCTGAGAGCTAAAAATCATTGTACATTTTTAACATTGACTGTCCTTACAGGAGGATTTAGAAGCAGTTTATACACAGAAGATCCAGCATTTGTGTACTTTGCTGTAACAAGAGGTGATGAGTTCCAAAGTAGCTAATGCAGGTTTTGAGAAATTGGAATTTTCCTTTCAGGTCGTATTCAGACCTGACAATTTGGTCCGCTTTAAACGAACCAGAGTTTGTTTCCAGCGTTGGTCCGGACCTTTTGTGCAGGTGTGAATACACTCAGGCGAACTCTGGTGCGGATCAAACAACCGGACCGAGACCTGCTTTTTGAGGTGGTCTCGGTTCGTTTCCAAACGAACTCTGGTGCGGTTCACTTAACCGGACCGAGACCTGCTTTTTGAGGTGGTCTCGGTTCGTTTCCAAACGAACTCTGGTGCGGTTCACTTAACCGGACCGAGACCTGCTTTTTGAGGTGGTCTCGGTTCGTTTCCAAACGAACTCTGGTGCGGTTCACTTAACCGGACCGAGACCTGCTTTTTGAGGTGGTCTCGGTTCGTTTCCAAACGAACTCTGGTGCGGTTCACTTAACCGGACCGAGACCTGCTTTTTGAGGTGG